GCCAGGTAGAGCATCCTTTCCCAGACGTCATCCCTCAAGCTGTGACACAAGTTCAGTCATCAATACGCGGTAAATGCTGCATCTGGTAGCTTCTTGTAGTCCTGACGCACGTTAGCGTCTCAAAGGTGAAGGGATGTCCCATAAGAAAAACGTCAAATAAAACCCCGCCCTCGCATCTCCTATATATTAATACTTTTTTTCTTTAAGTAACATTACCGCGTTTTAGAAAACCCCGTTCTGGACCAAAGTCGTCTCTGCTGTGTGAGGAGTGTGTATACTTGTGAGTAGGTTGCTTGTGGCTTTTGCCCGCCCTCTGCCGTGGCGGGTGAGGGACTCTGACAGCTCTAGACTTGTTCGGCTTCTCACTGGGACGAGAAGCCTCTCACCTGCCCCTCCGCCTCCCTCCCACCCCCCATGCCCAGAACCTGGAAGCCCAGAGCACAGGTAAGTGGGATCCTGAGAACGAGCTGGCATCCTGGTTCAGCCCCCAGCCGGCTGTGCAGCTGTCTATCACAGACCCCGCCCCCTCAAGACCTCCAGAGTCGTGGGTCCCCAGTGCATTTGGCACTGGGCTCCAAATGCTCAGCAGATGCCAGGACTGGAATCCGGGCCCCATCTCCAAGGGCTTGGCTTGCTGTTCTGGAAGGTGATCCTGGCCAGTCCTGAGCCCCCCCTTTTAGAGCACTTGCCAGGAAGTTGCTGACTTCAAACCCCCTCCCCTGCCACCTTCCGAGCAGGGCTGAGTGATCTCATGCCTGAGAGCAAACATCACACGCTGGAGCAGAAGGAGGGGACGGATTATGACCAGGGCAGCTACCCAGATTAACGAGCAGAGCCCAAGGCCACGGCGGCCCACAGGCCTCCGTCCCCACCTCCCAGACTCCAGCGTGTGACATTTGCTCTCAGGGGCGCGTCCTAACCACCCAGAACAGCTTGGGGCATCGTCTGAGGCCTGCCTGCTGGGTCTGTGCATGCAGCCCTGGCCCCCAACAGGAGAAGGAGATCAGGGTGAAGGGATGCCATCTGTCCACGTGTCTCTTCTGATCACCCTGCCTTCCCTCAGAGCGCAAGCCTTCAGCCCCTTTTGACTGCAGAGAAAAACACTGAATGGGAGCCCAAAGACCCCTGGACCACAGGCTGCAGGGCTGCAGTTTATAAACTAAGGCTCTTTCCTGCCCAGAAGTTCCTGGGTTCTAAGCTGCTCCTGCCACGTCCCAGGTCCTGTGGAAGGAAGATGCTGGGGGGCCCCCTGCTGGCTGATCCATGGAACTGACCCATGGTGGGGTTGGGGGCAACCTGTTGAGCCCAACGAGGGGGACTTTGCAGGCCTCAGATGAGAGCAGAGACATCCATCTGGCCCACCCCCAGTAGCTGCCAGCCCAGTTCTCCCTCCGTGATGCCTAGCCCTGTTTTTGACGGTGAATTCTGAACTCAGTGGAATCTGGCTGCCGGCCGCTTGGCATTTCCTTGGCCTTCCTGTTCCCACACTCCACTGGGGACCGTCCTCCAGCAGCGATGTGTCCCTCCCAACCACCCCAGGATGGCTGCCACTTCTGCTTCCAGGCCCCGCTTCTGCTCCCTTGTCCTCGCAGTTTGTGTGTTCCCTCTACCCCTCCCTCTCCTACCTGCTGGTATAAGAAGGATGTTAAGGACAGGTTGTGAGGAAATGGTCCCTGCATCTATCCTAGAACACTAATGAGCCGTGGCAACACCCGGGGAGTCCAGGCTTATTGCTGCACCACCTCCCAGTTTGGTGACATTGACGTTTTCCTGGGATGAATGCTTGATATCAGCAAACCATCTTGGAGAGAGTTCCACGGGCTACCCTCTTAACTCCTGCCTCCCTGTCATGAGGGAGGCACTGAAGACACTCGGGGAGAAATGAGCCCCGGGGAGGCACCACAGGACCTCTCCAAGGTCAGCCTCTGCATCTCAAGCTTTGCCAGACTTTATTCTCTCCAGGTTAACGAGAGCACACTTGTGTTTCTCCCACCGGCTTCAGGAGACTCGTGGGACTGCACTGGGGGTCCAGGGAGGACAAGTAGTGGGGTCGCTGGAGAAGCAGCTTGACTTGGTTCTTTTGTCACTGCCTGAGGCTCTGGGCATTGGCTGCACCCTCCTCATTCCCTTCCTTCCTATTCTCATCCTTACTTGAGACCATGAGAGATGAGGTGGGAGAGCCCCTGCAGAAAGTGGGAACAGGAGCAAGGCTCTGCCTGGGGAGGCACCCCATGCATTCTGTTCCTTTGACCCAAACAGTGCGAGTCAGGTGGAGGGGACAGGCTGGAACACCACAGCCCAGCCTTCTCCTCCTGCTCTGCTCAGCACTCATAGCCTGCATCCTGACCACAACCCTGCTATGGGGGCATGCTGCCCCCTGCTGGCCACACTGGCAAAACACAGCCCAGGGTCAGCCCCAAGGTTATATATAGGTGTTCCCTTTTCAACCAAGCTTGCAGCTGGGCTGGAGACTCCAGGTCTCCAAGGAAGAGACCATGTGCCCTCCCCCCCCCCGCCCACAAGGACTCTCAGACTGCACGGGGAGACAGGTCTAGAACCGCCTGGCACCCAGTAGTGTTTGTTGAGTGAACAGATGAATGAATGAAGGTATGCATCTGAAGCATTTAGGTGATAATGGTCTCTAGTATCAGACATTTATTGAGCAGGAACTGAGACTTCTCTTGGGTTGACAAGATCTAAATAGGATGATCAAGTATGGAGAGTCAAACAGTGCTAGACTATGACACAGGTGACCATAGAACAGCCTGGCTCTTGTTGCCAGATGGCTAGTTAGCAGTAAGTACCCAGGGGGGTGATGGAGACAGCCTTCAGCCTGGGCCTTCAGGGAAGGTGAGGAAAAGGCAAATAAGGGGGGATCGATGGCAGGGATGAAACTTACAGGGCAGAGTACAGACTGGAGGTTTGGTGTGGAAGGCGGGGAGAGAGGGAAGCACATCCTGTGTCTTAAGGCCGATGACGTGCCAGGCACAGGGTCTGCCCTTGTGACATGTGTTAGTCCCATTGGTTTGCACAACCGCCCTGTGAAGCAGGTGCTACTACCCCTATGCTGCATTTGAGAAAAAGGAGGATCGGGAAAGGTCCGTGCTGTGCAGGGCCCTACAGCAGATGCATCGAGCCGGGGTTCAGACGTCCCTCCACTTGGGAGATGGTGATTGGGTTCAGGTGCCTGAACTCAGAGGTTTTTCAGCGGGAAGTGATGTGCACAAGGACAGATTGGGGAGCAGAGGGAGGCAGAATGGTCATTTAAATGGCTGTTACAGGGGGGCGTGGGTGGCTCAGTCGGTTAGGCGTCCAACTTCGACTCAGGTCATGATCTCACAGTTTGTGGGTTCAAGCCCCGCATCAGGCTCTGTGCTGACAGCTCAGAGCCTGGAGCCTGCTTCGGATTCTGTGTCTCATTCTCCCTCTGCCCCTACCCTGCTTGTGTTCTGTCTCCCAAAAATAAATAAATGTAAAAAAAAAAAAATTCAAATGGCTGTTACTGCACAGTAGGGTATAAAGGAACTCCTCGTTCCACACACAGGGTTTCCTTCATGTACAAGGGCCAGCTGAGACCTGACCCTTCAGTCCTGCACCTGAGCTGTATCCCTGCCCCACGGTGGGCCAGTCCAAAGTCATCCCCACAGAGGAGGGGCTAGGAGTGCAGGCTTGGGTGGGCTTCTCCCGAGACCCAGATCTGGCCCAGTCCCTCTGGTGGTGCTGTCGCCAGAGGGCCATTTCCAGCCCCTCTTCCTCGTAGAGAGGGCTTCTGGGAGATTGGTTTGTTCTCGGGGCGGCTTGGCAGGCCAGAGCCACACTTCTGCCCTGGCAGGCCCAGTCTGGGGGGGGGGAGGGGCTCTGTCAGCTCATGCTTATTCTCCCCCCGCCCCCATCACTGGCTGCTTTTCTTTCCTCTCGAGAGCTTGGCCAGGTGACAAGGCTAACCCTGAAGTACTACCCACACCTCCAGGAAGAGGAAGTGCGTCCCCGGCCTCCGGCTGCTTGCTGCCAGGGCTCCCGGAGCTTGCTTACTCCTTGACCTCTTCTGCCTCTGTGGGAGAAGCACAGGCTCGACATGCAGCTTGGGGGCCCAGATCAAAGGCAGGGGGGAGAGCTCCCTGAATTGAGCGAGGCTCTCCCTGTACAGCACACCCTGGCCATGGTGGCCACAGCATGCCCGAGCCCCCTTTCCAGGGGCTTCAGCTCTTATACGTGTGTGTGATCGGTTTATCCTCCCACGGGAGCCCCGGGTGCGGGAAGCAGCATATGGCCTCCTGCCCCAGATGTGGGGGCTGGGGGTGCTGACCTCAGGGCTGTGTGATCCAGCTCCCCACTCTGCCTGCTCCTTTCATCCCCCATCCGTCCCCGCTCCTCTCCCTGGGTCCTTGGTGTGCCTTTGTCTCTTGAAGCCATATCTGTTGATACTTGTTTATTCTGATTACACTTTAACTGTCTGGGATTTGGTCACCTCAACTGCACGTTTGCCTTGCCCCAGAACGGGCAATCCCTCTTGCCCTCTGCGACTCTCCTGTTCATCTCCCCTGGGGGAGAAGGGAGCCCTGGGTCTGCTGACCGCCTTCCACATACCCCCAGGAAGCCCTCTGAGTTCTCATGGCATACCTGGGTGCCTTGTTTTCGTACAGCTGGTGCGCCTCTGAGTGTTCTAGGAGGCTAGTCATTCAGCAGAGCTCCTTACCGAGCACCTTCTTCCAGTCAGGTGGGTTTGGGGTGCTGGGGTGCCAAACACTGGGGCTATAGCAGGGAATAAGACAGATGCCATCCCTCCGTCCAGTCGGGGAGGTGGTGTGCAACCTCACGCTTCAGAGAAGAGTGATACAGACCGGTTAGCGCAGAGAGGGGCCCAAGCAGGGGAACAAGCCTGGGAGACAGGACAGTGTCTCAAGGCTGAGACTCAAGGGTACATGAGAGCCAGCCCACAGAGAGCCTGGGAGAGAAGGGGAGCAGCAGCCCCTGACCCCTGCTGGTTCCCCCCGCTGCAGGCTCGTGGAGGAGTTCATGCTCTTGGCCAACATGGCAGTGGCCCACAAGACCTACCGCGCCTTCCCTGCGTGCGCCCTGCTGCGCCGGCACCCCCCGCCCCAGACCAAGATGCTCAATGATCTCATGGAATTCTGTGACCAGATGGGGCTGCCCATGGACTTCAGCTCTGCCGGAGCCCTCAACGTGAGTGCCGGGAGTGTAGGGGAGGGGGAGACCCTAGCGGAGAAAGCCTCCAAGTCACAGGGGCCCTGGCCATGGGCCATGCTCCCCACCAGGACCAGGCCAAGGGAAGCCAGTCAACACCCATCTATCTATGGGCAGGGATCCTGTGGCCAGGGATGGGCGGGGCTTGGGTCCAGAAACTTTCAGTAAGGGGCTGAGATGATTGGAAGCCAGAGAATGTTTTTTATGGTAAGAAGGGTCAAATGTTTCCTGCCTGGATCTAAGCCTTATGGGGCTTGGGGACCCGTGACTTCAGCTCCGATCCCACGGGTGGGAGGCTGTTCCCATCTGTGCTGTAAGCCTGGGGTGGGCAAAGAGGCACCTTAGGTCGGACAACTGGAAACCAGTCTCTCCCTCCAGCCAATAAGACACAGACTGACCTCAGAGCAGGACATGGGCTGGGGGCTGCTGGCCCCCTGCAGCCCACCGTGGCCATCTGAGCATGGTCGAGCCCCTCAGCATACCCTTCCTCCCCAGAGCCAGGTCTCAGATGGTCAGAGGGTGACAGGGGCCCCAGAGCCAACCCAGGCTTGACTGCATATCACACGGGTTTGCTTCTAGAAAAGTCTGACCAAAACATTTGGAGATGACAAGTACTCACTGGCCCGGAAGGAGGTGCTCACCAACATGTGCTCCCGGCCCATGCAGGTAAGGAGGGGCCTCATCCCCATCCTCCCTTTTCTCTTAGGAGCATCCATGGCCTCCACACACACAGGAACTAAGGGGAGGGGTGGGGAGCACCCCCAGGCAGCACCTAGGACAGGTGAGCCCTGGGTTCCTGAGCCTGATCTGCCTCCTACACAGACTTGCCTGCCTCATCTGCTCAAGGACGGCTTCTACAGGGCTGTTAAAGGGCCTCGTTTGAGCCCCACTGCCCCCTTCACGTGGCCTCTGGGGCTCTGTTTCCTAGCAGAAGGCAGGGAGTCCCCACAGGGTGTACGCTAAGCCTTTGGTGCCCAGTCGCCACAAACCAGACCAGCTTAAGGAAGGGAATGGGGGCTGGTCAGCAACTCAGTTGGACGGGCACCCCGGAGGGGAGAGATTGTCTTGTCTCCTGCAGCAGCCTGCCCAGGGGAGCAGTCATCAGCCCCTACCACGGCTTCTGGACCCCAGGCAGAATTGTCTCCCTCTCGCCAGCTAGTAGAGGAGGATTTAGACCATGGGCCTGTGTCTGCAGGCAGGGTGACAGGCTGGCAGCCTAGGAAGTAGACAGTGAGCTTGCTCCTAACAGCAGGTGTCAGCCCTCTGGCAGGCGCAGGCATCTTGGGAAGGAGCCACCCCACCAGCCTGTCAGGTCAGCGGGAGCCACAGATACTAATGGGACCAGCTCTGGGCCCCAGTCTGGCTGAGGGGCAGTGACAAACCATTTTTCAGGGGCTCAGTCACTGCAGATTCAATCTGTTCACAGGAACCAGGTCACCTCAGCTGGCCACAGCCGATTTATTTTCTGACAGTCATATTTTCTGCCAGGAATGGAGTCATCCGGGCCCGTGTGGTCTGGCTGCCTTTCCCCTGCCCCCAGTCACAATTGTCTGCCCCCACCAAGCCCCTTAAAGCCACACAGAGGGGCAGGTGTGCCTGTGGCCAAGGGGTTCGATGTCACTCTGCCCTCCAGTTACTCTGAGATGCAGTAGCCCCTGGGTCCCAAGATCTACCTGTTGACTGTGCCGTGAGGGCTAATTGGGCTCCCGTGCCCTGCCCCCAGCCTCTGGAAGGCATCCACCTCCAAGGTCAGACTAGCCCTGGAGCTCCACGGAAAGGAGCCTTCCTCTCCCGAGTCACCCAGAGCCTTAAATAGAGTGGACTTCTGGCCTTGCCTGTCAGTAAGTGACCTTAACAGCCAGCCTTTGTCTGGGGAGCTGATGGCAGGGGGTTGTTGGAATTTCTGAAGTGCCCCTGTTCTCCCAGTCCTGAGAACTGGGACAAGGACAGGGGACCGAGCAGGGGCAGCAGCAGTGAGCACAAAAGTCCCAAGTAAGGTGCTGGAACTGGGCACCAGGGCTGTCCCCGGAGCATCTGGTCCCTGGGAACGCCACAGCCCTCACCCATCCCACCCTGCCCAGAGACACCTTCTCCAGCCGGAAAGGGGACCAGGGCCTCCGTCCTCCTCACCCCTGATCATCTGGGCCACCCCCGAGAACAAGGCCCAGACATGGCTTGGAGCGGAGGCTGCTCCCAGCTCTCCCGGGGACTTGCCCCGGACATAACCCAGGTCCCAGCAGGAGCTGGAGGGGAAGAGGTCTCAGGGAGCTGAGCAGGCCATCCCCAGCTGTGCCCTGGATTCCAGGGCCGACGTACACAAAGTAACTGGAGCCGGCTGTCCGTTTGGCCAAGTGCACAGGCGGGTGTGTGCAAACAGGGAGCAAGTGAGTGAGCACACAGGGGTGTGACTTTGGCCCTAGATGAGGAACCTGTTCTCTTGCTCCCAGGCAGCAGCGGCGTCCTTGATTCCCAGCCCCGGAAGCTTGGGGACCACTGGGCAAACAGCTGCGGGGACGGTGGCCAAGGCTCCCGGATGGCAGAACCACTATGGGCCTGGAGCTATTTGCTGGGCCCCTAGAGAAACCTGGCCTCTCTTCAAGCACCCCACTCCTCGTTTCTTCCCCTGCAGAAGGGCCTTTTGAACTCAGACCTCTTGAGTCTTGGCTCAGGGCAGCTTGTCAGGGACAAGAAGGGCTGAGGCCGGTGGCTGGCAAACCTCTCCCTCCCTTGGCTGGTGCAGGGTTGAGTATGGGGGGTACAGAGGTGCCAGGGTGCAAGCATCGCCTCTAGCAGGACAGGCATCGGGGCCAGAGGGCATGAGGTTGGTCACAACGAAGACTAGGCCTGGGCCACAGAGGAAGAGCCAGGCACCCCCAGTCGATTTCATTCTAGGCGGGTAGTAGGAGTCTTGGGCCACGTGATGGTGGCGGAGGTGGACTTCGTGTCCTTGCAGAGCCCCGTAGCCTCCTCGGCGTCTGCTGCTGCCTCCACGGGACGTCTGCGGCCCCTTGTCCAGCCTGGCCACAGGCCTCCCCTCTTCTCCCTGTTGCACAGTAGCTGCCCCATCCCCGTCCCGTGGAGGGGCAGACCAGAAACAGCTCCCTCCTTGTTGCCGGCGGTAACAGCCCCGAAAACTCGGCAGTGGCTGGCTGAGGCGGAGGATGAGCTCCTCCCCAGCTGCCCTCACAATTCAGCAGGTGGGCGGCCCTCCCTGAGGGCTTGGGTGGCCGGTCCCACAGGCCTCGGAGGGAGGAGGTTTCCAACCATCCTGAGGTTTCCCAGCACCCCCTGGGCCCCACAGAGGCGAGGTGGGCCCCTTACGGTGCTCTTTGGCCTGTTCTGCGTGCTGCCATCACGAAGGGTCCGGGCAGTGCAGGGCAAGGCCCACGTTTGTCTTCAGCAGGAGAGGGGCATGGGCATCTCGTGGCTCTGCACAGCCTCGTGGCAGCCACACTGGTCCCCTTACAGAGGGTGGCTCCTGGCCTCCTCGGGCCTGTGGTCGGCCACCTACAGCCTGGCAGTTCAGTCCACCCCCAAAACAGCCCATCATGAGACTCTGAGCATCACAGCCTGGGAGAGCAAACCCCGCCCTGACCTGGTCTGGCCAGGTTCTAAGACTCACCTCCCATCCCCCCAGATGGCACTGTACTTCTGCTCGGGGACGCTGCGGGACCAGGCACAGTTCCGGCACTATGCCCTCAACGTACCACTCTACACCCACTTCACCTCCCCCATCCGCCGCTTTGCTGACGTCCTGGTGCACCGCCTCCTGGCCGCCACTCTTGGTAAGACAGCACTGGGGTAATGCAGGCTTGTGCCTACCTGAGGGCTGCCCAGCCCCAGAGCGGGTCCCATGGCTCTATGTAGAGACTCCAGGGGGCAGACGGCCTGAGCAGCGGGGGAGCCTGGGCCCAGAAACACCCTCTGTGAGCATGCTGGGGGTGGCTGCAGTGGGGCTCATTAAAATCCTATACAAAAGCCGGGGCTCGAGGACCCCAACCATGGCTGCCCACCTTGCCGGAGCCTCCGGAGCTGAGCAGCAGGAAGGCCTCTGCCCTGCATGGGTTTCCCAGGCCCCACCTTGCCTGGGCAGGGAGCACCATGCTTCCCGTCACCCAGCCGTGGCCGGCACACACACAGCACCTTGCCAGCTGCCCCGCACCCACCCTCTTCCCAGGCTACAGGGAGCTGCCGGACCTGGAACCCGACGCCCTGCAAAAGCAGGCCGACCACTGCAATGACCGCCGCATGGCGTCCAAGCGCGTACAGGAGCTCAGCACCGGCCTCTTCTTTGCCATCCTCGTGAAGGTGAGGCCACCGGCCTGGCAGCCCCTCCCCCTCACCTGCCCCACTCCCCCTCCTGGGCACCTGTTCACGAGGCGCCCTTAAGGAGCTCATGGGCCTTCGGCAGCTGGGGTGGGCCCTGGGGGTGATGGCATGTCCTGTGGCCAAGCCTCGGCTAGAGCTCCGTCCTGCAGGAAAGTGGCCCCCTGGAGTCAGAAGCCATGGTGCTAGGCGTCCTGAACCAAGCCTTCGACGTGCTGGTGCTGCGCTACGGGGTGCAGAAGCGTGTCTACTGTAATGTGAGTGCCCACGGCCACCCAGGCCGGGGTTGGGGACCTTCCGGGCAGGCACAGTGCTGAAGCGCACCCACTATGACATGGGAGCCGGGGACCTCGTGGCGTCTGTTGAAAGCCCTCCCTCCTCTCACAGACCCACCGAGCTGCATCGACCGCACACTGTGCTTTCACTTGCGTGTCCCCCAACCCTCTGCTGGGGTCTCCTCCATCTCTCTCTGGTCTCTGGGGGTTCCTGGCCCAGGGACACACGAGCATGGAGGATGGGAGCACAGCGCAAGGTCCTTGATGTCCTCATGTGCACCGGAGAATACAAGCTAAGGCAGTGACAATGGCGTGTGGCAGCCGAGTGTATATACCCCCCCGACCTTGCTACCCTCTGCCGCCCGTCGCCAAGCCCACTTGTTGAGCCACGCCGGGACCCCCAGCTGCACCTGCCTAGGGTGAGGGATCCAGGCCAAGAGTCAGGCTTGGGCCCCTTCCCGAAGGACCCAGGCAACCAGAGAATGGGCCCCACCCTAGCCAGTGCAGGGTGGCAGAGTGTGCAGGCTTTGGGGGTGGAATTTTTTATAGGAATGTGAAGGAAGGAAAGATGAGACAATGATCCAGGGCCACTCTGGAAACTATGTCCCCTGAAGAGAAGGAAGAGACCGGCCCTTGCCTTGGGTCCTGCCCTGTGTGATTATTTATTCAAGGTTCTTTCCAGGGGCACTTGGTGCCTGTGCCAACGCCATCTGAGGGGCCTGTTTCAGCTGACCTTGTGGTTGGCAGGACACCACCTGGCCCTTGACCCTGGCTTCGACTTTCTTGACATCCAGAACACTTGGGGGAGTGCAGAGCCCCGTACATGGAGTAGAATAAGCATGGAATTAATACAGTGGAGCAAAGCGGAAGAGACAGAATGGAGTCCAGCTGGAATCAATCAGGGCTCTTGCCCTGAAGTTCATTGAGCAGGACAAAAGTTCAGGTCTAGGTCATCAGACAGATTTGGGTCTGCAGACAAGCCAGCCCTCAGCCTGTGTTAACAGACCCAGCACCCGCAGGGGGCGGCACCCCTCAGCCTTGGGTTCCCCGGTCCACCTTGGGCCTCAAGTAGACAGCCCCTGATGAGCCAGGATAGACCCAGCCCCTGCCGCTCAGCACTCGGTCACCCTCAGGTCCTGCCTTAATGGAAGATGGCCTGGCAGGGCCTTCCTAAAGCTGGCCGGAGGTAAGAGCCAAAGGTGGGGGTGGTCCGTAGTCAGAGGTCAAGCAGCCGTCTGCTGGGAGTGGGGCGGGGAGCTCCTTCAAGGCCGGTCAGAAGCTGCCTCCCAAGCAGCGGGCAGCCTTTCGGGGTCAAAGGTGAGGAGGCGGCACGCAGAGCTTGCACCCCACAACACAGGCGTGTGTACCCCCAGGCGCTGCCCCTGCGGTCCCACCACTTCCAAAGGGTGGGCAAGAAGCCGGAGCTCACGCTTGTCTGGGAGCCTGAGGACCTAGAGCAGGAGCCGGTGCAGCAGGTCAGAACCAGGGGGTGGGGCAGCTTTTCCAGAATGCCACTGTGGGCCCGCCCGCCCCTCAGCTCTCGAGGAGCCTTCCTCCCGCGGCACCCCTGCCCTGCCTGCCCTGCTGCCCCTCCTGCGCCCCCACCCCCACCCTCAAGCACTCAAGCTCCCGGTGGGCTTTCAGCTTCTACCTGCGAGAACCACACGGCTCGCCCACATTACCTCCTTCGGGCCACGGCTTTCCGGCACTGCCTTCCCTGCCTTGGGGACCCGCTGCGGGGAGAGGACGGGGTTCTGCCTGTCCCCGTAGAGCAGGGTTTTCATTTTGGGGGTCCTTTTGAGAGTCCGATGAAAACTGTGGACTCCCTACCCCAGAAATTGCACGTAAGGTCTTCCCCACAGCACGCTCTGAAGGCCAGCCCCAGACCCCGGCTGTTTTTGCGGACACTGAGCGCTCACTTGTGCGCCAGACGACGGACACAGCCGTGTGTGCTTCCCTCACTTCCCACCAAGGCCCCCTGGCCTCAGTCCCCGAGCAGGCTCGGCTTACAGATGGGCAGACAGAGGCCTAGAGGGGCAGGGCGAGTGGGCCTGGGGCCCAGCTAGATGGACAGTGGCAGGCCCTTGTCCCTCCCGTCCCGCGGGACCGGCCCCTCACGACCCGTTCGGGTCACCACGCTGGCTCTGCTCTGCTGCAGGTCGTCACCATCTTCAGCCTGGTGGAAGTGGTGCTGCGGGCGGAGACCTCGGCCCTCAAGTACAGTGCCATCCTGAAGCGGCCGGGCCCCGAGGGCCTCCCGGGCCCGCGGGACGAGGAGGAAGCGTGACGGTGACGACGGCCTCCAGCCCAGCCGCACCCCACCCACACCACTGCCCCACCCGCTGGCTTTTAGGAATAGGACCTTTTGACACCAAAGGGGATTTTTAATTTGGTTTTTAACGACTCAGGGTTTTTGTTTTTATTTCTTCATTTTGTTTTATTTTTGCAGCTCAGTTTTTAAACAAACCGGAGAGGAGAGGGTGGGGCCGGACGGAAGGCTGAGGCCCGGCTGGTGCTTAACCAGAGCAGAACAGGACCCGGTCCTCCTGGGAGGCCAGCCCCTCTTCTGCCTGCCCACCCACTGCCTTCCCCTGCCCAGGAAACCGGGGGTTTTCAGCAAATCAGTGTCATGGAATAAAATCAGGTGTGAATTGTGGTCTGGTGTGTGGGGCACCCCTGGGAGGCCAGGGCCGCAGGGTCCCCCTTGGACCCAGGACTGGGGACCTGGCTCGGGCTCCACCCCTCACAGCTGAGCTGAGATCGCCACCCTCTGGAACCTTTCTGTCAGTTCCAGGATGATTCACAGAGCTGGCCACATGTCACACTGTTGCCAGGGCCTCATTCTGGCTGATTAGAAATGTAATTAGTATGCAAGACAGCAAGCTCAGCCATCACCCTGCCTCAGGTGGCTGTGTCCGTCCCTGCCCCCACCACTTCCTCTCTGCCTGCTGGCCTCAGGATGGGGGAGGCATGGGTCCTATAACACCCCCCCCCCCCCCGCTTCAGGTCCTAGGCCAGAGCTCTGAGTGGCCCTGTCCACACCCCCTTGCTTCAAGCTGGCCCCTCGGCACCTCCAGCGCCCGTCCCAAACCCCGGCAGCACCCCGTGGGGTCCTGGCCTGCCAGAGGGAAGGAGAGCCCTCAAACTGGCCTTCCCCACCAGGGATGGGAAAATGGGTGCCTGGTGGCCCTAGGCTGGCCTACTCACCTGCCTGGCATCGTCCTGAGCGCCCACCAGTGGCACCGTCCTCGGGGACCCAGGGACAGAGATGGAGGGCCGTTGGGCGGTGCCGTCTCCCCAGCTGGCCTGACCACGGTCTGCACTCCTTCCCCACCTAACTGGGAAACCACAGATCAGCTTCCCTAGGAGCTGCCAGGAGCGAGGGTGAACGGTGCCCCTGGCCCCGGCTCCACCGTGCCATTTCCTCTGGTGTCAGTATTAAGCCCATTTGATCTGGTGGCAGTGAATTTCCTTCAAAGAAAAACTCAGTACGATACCTGGGAGGAGGGCCTCGCAGGAACTGGAGGGCTGATGGAGCCGTTGCTTTTGTCCACCGGCAGGCCATGGCCCGTCCTCATCCAGCACCGGGCTGGGTGTCAGAGGGGAAGGGAGGACACCGTTGGGTTCCTTTCTCTTCCTCCAGCACCCTAGCCAGCCTTCCAAGTGTCCATCTTGCCACCCCCTCTCCGTTCCTGTCCCCAGAACCTTCTCCTGCAGCCACGTATCTGGAAAGGAAGATGGGCGAGGGTCTGGTGGTTTGGCATTTGGAGGAGGAGGTTTCTGGGTGTTTGCTGTCCCGGGCAGCCCGACAGAGCCCCGGTGCTGTCCCCGAAGGCCTCCCACGGAGCCTGGGAGCTGGGGGCAGGGCAGAGCCCCCATGGAGTGGCACCCCTCAGGGCAGCGGTGTGTCAGAGCAGCCGGGCTCCCTCTCGAGCAGCGTGGACTCAGACCGGACCCCCCGAGCCCTGGAGAGGCATAGCCAGCTTGGTCAGCAAAGAAGATCTTGGCTCCCGGCACTCGCTTGGGAGTCGCCCTGATGCACTCTGGAGCCATGGGGGCCATTGGGGCCCCAGCCCAGCCCCACCCCATTTGACAGAAGTGGAAACTGTACCCAGCAAGGAAGCAGGCCTCTGGCCAGAGTGACACAGCGAGACTGCCCAGCCAGGACCAGGGCTCAGGCACCTGCCCGCCACTACCCCCCCCCCCCCCCCGACTGCCTGTGGGCCCAAAGGAGGCGGCCCAGCACCCTTTCCAAGTCACCGGAGTTCGTCTTCATCCCCTCCCCCGGCACACGGGGCTCTGGGGGAAGCCCACGGAGGGGGCCGCCCCTCCTGTGTCCCCACGTGATGGAGCTCTTGACAAAAGGATGACCAGCACAAAACCTCGTCAAAAAGTAAGACTCGCTCATCCCTTCGGCTGCTCCAGAACCACTGCATGCTAGTACAGGCAGGAGCCCCAGACCCCACGCGAGGCCCTGTCTTTCTCACAGGGCCACCTCAGATCACCGTGCGGGGGGAGGCGTCATGCAAATAATGTCACTACAGGACGAGGCTCTAGCAGAGCTCCGAGGCTGGAGAGCATATTCCAAGCCATGAAGGGACAGTAGCCAGGTGACACATGGGCCCCACATGGGTGAAGAAACTGAGGCTTGACAGTATTGGACTTAATCACGAGCTGTGAAGGTCAAGGTCATTAGGGTCAGAGAGCACTGAGAGGATGTGCAAGAAGATGCACGGACCTTCTGAGCTGGCCAGAGACTCTGCACTCCAAGGGCTGTGAAGAGCCACTGGAGGTTTCCAACCAGAGCTGTGCCACAGTGTGGCCTCTGTGCCTTCAGTCAGCCCTATGTTCTCGGGGCCGCTGTCCAGAGGGGACTTGTGTCAGTAGTGCGGCAGGTGGTGGTGATGGCATGAAGGTAAAGCAGGAGAGGGAGGTCGAGTGTGGGCAGGGCCTCAGGGAGCAGACTGCTGGCTATTTGCAGGCATGGGCCCTGAGGTCCAGTGCCATCTGGATGGTGGAGGGCGTGGGAGGCTGGAGCGCAGGAGAGCCAGCGAGCTGGGACAGTGAGGACTTTCCTCACGGGGGGAGCAGATGAAGGGTGCAAGCCAGCTAGTGTCTCTGCTGAGAACAGACCTGGGACACGGGGTGGGGGGGAGGTGGGGGCAGTACAGAGGCTGGGCCGGGGCTGGAGTGCTGGATGGGCTGGGAGGGGGGGGCAGTACAGAGGCGGGGCCGGGGCCGGGGGCGCGCGCAGCAGTAGGGGTAGCAGCCGCAGGTAGATGTGGGAATGCCGGGTTGGGCCCTGAAGTGCAGGACAGTGGTCCTCTGGCCGGGCATCCTCAGCACACAGCCCGGACCGGAAGCCTGGAAGGGCTCAGGACTGAAAATCCAGGGTCGGGAAAGATGGGGAGAAGGAGCCAGAGAGAGGGGCCCTTGAGCCTTCAGGAAAACTCCTGTCTTTTGATTACAAAGAAAAGAAACCCAGTGCAAAGTGGCTCTGGGAGGAGGGAACTGGTAGGAAGATTGGATGTGAACTAGCAGAGGAGGGCGGGAAAGCCCGCCGTGAGGGAGGTAGGGACGCGCCACCCCTCCAGGTCACCTTGAGTGGCTCTGTCTCCCTTCTCCGTTTCCTCTTCCCTTCCTCCTGGTGTAAATCACTTCCTCCACCACGACCTTCTGGAAGCTCTGTATCTTGCAGCCCACCCTCTTGGAGAGAAACTGACACCCTCTCCCAAGTTAGAGAGACCCCAGGAAAGAATGGGGCGGCTGCCCACCCCTGGCCCATCAGAGAGCCGTCACGGGGCAGAATGGTAGCTCCCGGGGTCTCTGGCAGTTGGGAGGGATGGGTAAGAAGCTGGGGAGCTGGTCCCAGGAAGAGGCCACACCACTGGGGAGACACAGCACCAGATGCCCCCCGCAGCTGCTGCAAGCACAGAACAGTGACGGGCCCCGAGGTGGGAAGCTGGAGGCCAGGTTGGAGGGACCGTGATTATCCAGGCAAGGTGAAGGCCTGAGAGAGGGAGCAAAGCCCAAATGTCCCGACAGAGCTGGCACCAGCAGGTGCCGGAGTCACGGGCAACATTGGGCTCCCCACGGAGGAGGCGGGGAGGAGCGCCCTGGGGGAGTGGGGGCAGAGGAGGGGTGGGGACAGCAAAGGCCAGAGGTTGGATTCCTTCTGGGGACAAGAGAGCCTCAAACGCTGCTGCCGGGGGTTGAAAGCATGAGGCAGAGTCGTGCAGCGCGTTGGGGCCACGCAAGTGGTGCAAAGCAGCAATCCTCGCAGCAGCCGAGACAGGAAGCACCCCAAGTGTCCGCCAGCACAGGAATGGATAGAGATGTGTCGCATACACACAACGGAATATTACTCAGCCACGAGGGAGGACATCCTGCCAGCTGTGACACCATGGGTGAATCTGGGTGACATCATGCTAAGTGAAGTGTGCCAGGCACGAGACAAATACATGTTCTCACTTAGGTGTGGAGTCTAAAATCATCAAATTCGTAAAAGCAGAGCAGAATGCTGGTTTTCAGGGCCAGCCGGGGCAGGGAGGAAGAATGGGGAGGTGTCCGTCGAAGGGTACGAAGTCTCAGTTGTAAGACATGCAAGTTCCGGGGACCTCGCGTACAGCATGGTGATACAGTTAACGATACTGTGTCGTGTGCTCGAAAGCTGCTAAGAGGGTAGATCTTCAGTGTCCTCACCACAGAGAGAAAATGATCACTATGAGGTGATAGATATGTTAATTAGTTTGATTGTGGTGGTCATTTCACAATGTATACATATTATCAAAACACCAAGTTGTACATCTTAAGTGTATACAATTCCTATTGTCAATTTATACCTCAGTGACGCTGCTAAATAAACAAGTAAATACAAATGGCGTCTGTGTGCCTCCCCCTTAAATCTGGACAGGCTCAGTGGCTGCTAATAGGCAGAAATGTGGCAGAAGTGACCCTGTGCTAGTTTCGAGGCCCAGGCCTTAGGAAACTGGCAGCTTCCACTCCCATTCTCTGGGAATCCGGCTGCCATGTTGTGAGGAAGTTCGAACAGTTCTGTGGAGAAGCCCTCAGGGAAAGGAGCCCGTTTATCAGCCACGTGATGGAGCCACGTTGGAAGTGGATCCCCCATGTCCCCCCCCCCGCCACCCCAGCTGAGGCCCCAGAGGTCAGACACAAACTGTCCCCTCCAAGCCCTGCCCAGATTGCAGATCTGTGACCAATAAATGTTGTTTAAGGTTGTTTGGGGATGGTTGTTATACAACCATAGATACCGAGAACAGAATATCAATAGAATATGTCCACGGAGCTTAAAGTTAAAAAATGAAGAAGTAAGTCATTTAGAAACAGTGGTAAATGTCAACACAGAAAGCCAAGAGAGGGGAAGGTGGCTGCCTCTGAGATGGAAAAATGGAGGGAGAGAGACCGAGAACTGCTGTTTTTTGTTTTGTTGCAACAAACCTTACAGATCTATTTGATAGTTTAAAACTGTATTCACATGTAACTTGGATAAGAATAAAAACAAAAACAAACCACCCCCCCCCCCAAAAAAAAATACTTTCCTTAGCAAGAATGGATCTACAACTGGTTTAAAAGGCTTTTTGTACATTCAGCAACAGGGATGTTAAACAGTCCATCATTCCCGTCACTAAGATAAAATTCCTGCCAACAGGTTGCCTGATACTCCCAGTGAGTTCAAATGCCACCCAAGGCTTCTACTCAAGACTCAGGTGGCAGTCTGGGTCGCGACAGGTCTCAGTTGCCTCAGTGGAGCCGCTAGGGACCGTGTTGGCTCCATGTCTGAGCCAAGGTCAAGGTGTCCAGGTTGAGAAGGTAGGCCCTGGGCAGCGAGCCAGCCCAGAAGCCGCCTGCCATCAGTCAGGCCAAGGGGAGAGACAGAAATGCTGATGGGAAGGCTGCTGGCCCTGCGTGGTGGCTCCTCAGGAGGGCTGACCTTGGGCCCGGGCTGGGCACTGACCACACAGGCCCAGTGCATGGGTCAAATCACAGATTTCAGGGTCGATTAGAGTTGAGAGGGGGTTTTGAAGTAGGTGAAAGATGTAAGCCCCGGTGAATGGAAGGAGGAGAAAGACCCCTTTCACGGCAATAAAGAAGATTCTGGAGATGGGGGGGAGGGTACTTTAAGCACTTGGAATGATGACTTTGAATTTGCACATAACTGAGGTTACAAATTTAAAACCTACTGCAAATCTCTTTGAACCTTTTTTTGAGTTTTTATGGTTTGGGGATTTTTTTTTTAATATATAGAAAGCAATTTTAGGGGGGAAGTCCATTTAAGTCGTTTATTTTACTTAAAGTTGTTTGCCTCAAACGGTTTTGTGAATGGCGTTGTGTAATGTTCACAGATCGTTCACTGCTCGGTTCTGGAAAGCCTTTAGCTAAATGTTGAAGAGGCAACAGAAACGGAGGTACATGCCTGCTCTCATATATTTCACCTTAGTAGATTTTGCCAACTAACCAAGGTGCTCTTAGGATAAGACTGTCCTGCTTCTTAGGATACAAAACTCAGAGTTACATTACTGCATACAGTTAGAGGAGTGAGCTTTCTTTCCCTCCCATTGTGTATCCACGACCAAGTCACCTGTCAGCCATGGACGTGTCTTTCCTGCATCACCCTAAGAAGAATGACCTTGAGCCATGGCTCAAGGAACAGCCACCTGCCCGCCCACCCTGCCCTTGCCACCGCTGCCACCACAGGGCAGAGGAGAGGCCTGACCTCGGCCCACTCGGCCAGCCCACTCCTGCACCCCCACCCTGGGGCAGGCTGAGACCCCGGGGAACCATAGGGGAGGGGGATGTGGTGATGTTTCCTGCCCTGCTGGTGGATGGTCGGTCCCCTTATCTGTACCCCATCCCACCCCCACAAATATGTGACCCAAGTTCCCCCGTAGAAGGGCCGTGCCTAGATATTCCTCCCACCCAGGTAGGTAGAATGGCCCAGAAGGAGGCCTTGCCTACACACCTTAATTAGGAATTTTTTAATACTTGTTTTCTAGGAATAAGCCACTTTGCCTAACATTTGGCCCGTTGGCTTTCAAACGCTCAGCTTTGATAACGTTCAAGACCTGACCTGCCTCTTTTCAACGATTAGGGTTTCACCTCCCTCCTCCCCCACTCCAGGATTGCCTCTGTCCCACGGCCCTGTGCTCACAGCCCTATGACATCAGTACTAATTATATTTTTCCATTTCACAGAAGAGGAAATTAAGGCTCGGGCGAGGTTAAGTACTGAAGGACACCCATGCTAAGTGCTGGAGACCCAGCCCAGGCCCCGACTCGCTGCAGTTGGACCCTTTGGTCTTTGCCAACCTGGGGGTCTGTAACGCGGTTTATTCTGCATCAGTCGAACACCTTTTTGCTGTCATCCCGTGTGAAGAGGCTGTCCAGCAGGAGGAGGAAAGGGAGCTCGGTGAGGCTGGCAGAAAAACAGCCACTGCAGAAGAGGGATTTGGGGAGGGGCTGTTTCGAGGGGCTTTGCCCGGGGGGAGCCAGCAAGGAGGGCGGGCACGGAGGAGAGGGCGGATCCCTCGGGCCAAAGTGCAGAAAGCCACACCAGGTCCCAGAGTCTCCCCTCCACCGTGATCACCAGCTTTCCTGTGCCAGTAACTCCTCCACCTGCCTCTGCCTGTGCTTCCCCCACCCCCTCCAGCAGCACCCTGGAGGCTGACCTCAGCCCAGCCGCCCCTCCTCTTCACGCCCTCCTCCGCCTTCCTGAAGCCCAGCCGGGCACCAATCCTCCAGTCTGTCAGTGGGGATTGTATCCAGGCTTCTCTCCTGCCCGGATCCCCCAGCATTACTTCCCGCTCCTCTCCAGGGTGGTCTGACGCTGGCCAGGGGAACCTCAGTTCTTCCCCTGGGACAGCGTCCAGGACCATAGCTCAAGTTTACATACCACCCCCCGCCCCGCCACCTCTGGACAGGAAGCCCCTCGCTGATTGGGTCTGATTTGACCCCTCTAGGTCTCCAGGATGACTTCATGTGGTCAGTGCTCAAGAGATTTACTGAATAGAACGGTCTCCTTTAAACAACTAGTAGCTGCCCAGCTTCTGGTTTTTGCCTCCAGGACCCTCACTGAGACCTTGAGCCAGTGTGGTGAGGACAGCTGCAATGGCCCCATGAGCATCTGAGGGCTTCACCTCCTGAGCCTCAGTTTCCAAGGCTGGTATAATGGGCTCCCTCTATTAACAGTTGTCTTCTGGGGCCTTCCTTTGGGCTTTGCAACCTCTCTCTGACCCCTGACACCAAGCTGGTGCTGACCTTGTGCGGGTCACAGTTCCCAGCGTGAGGGCAAGTGACTTGGTATGGTGTAATCCCTGGGGTTCCCAAGTGTACCCCAGCATGCACTTAGCTCAGCCTTAGATGCACTCAGTTTTGCTCAGCCCCAGAACATATCTCGGCAAACTTTTCCCCTCCACGGTCCCGGGGATGCCCCCAAGGTCTGTGCTGTCTCTGGTTCCTTCCAAAGGCCCCCAGGGCCCAAAGTGGCCCCTGCTGGGGCCATTCTCCAGTCAGTGCCCATCTGCTCCTGGGGAAGGGCAGAGCCTAAGTCTCTTGAACCTGGAACAGGGACCACAGACACACAAACCACAGAAAGGCAAGGGGTTCTCCCTCCCCTGCTGCCAGTGCTTTTCACGTGACCCCCGAAGAACTCTTTCATTGAGCCCGTGACCCTGGCCATGGCCGCTGCTCTCAGCTGAGTGCTCCTTCCTGGTCCATCAGCTCCCCAGGCCACGATGCAGCTAATTGCTCCATGAGCAGCATGGTCCCCGTGACTTTCTTGATGGCCCCCTGCTCAGGCCAGGAGGAGAGGCAGGCGGGCCAGCCTCCTCTCCTAGCCCCAGAACTGCACAGGCAGGCCTGGCCAGAGAGGGAGACACGTCATCAGAGGTGCAGTGCCACTGTGGCTGGGAGGGGCTAACATCTCTGCCCTCCCTCCTGCCTGCCAAACTCCCAGGTGGCTTTAGGAGGCTTGGTACCCCCTGATCCCAGGAGGTCTGCCCATGAAATGAGGGCAAAATACAACTTGTGTTCGCTTCCAGCATCCCCGCCTGAATGGGGACACTCCTACTGTTTCGACAGGGCTGGTGGGAGGTTCAAATGGGAGACACTGTCCCTAGAAAGAGGTGCCTCGGTTTCCCCCAAAGTGTTCCCCATCATGCTGAGGGGTGTTGTCTTTTGGCGATCAACAGTCATTCCCAGCTCCTGCCATGCTCCCCCTGAGTGGCACGGCCGTCACTACATCTCCTAGGGGTGGTGTCACGGTGAGATCAGGAGGGCAGGAGGCAGGAAGGAGCCATTCCTCCGTGGGGCAGCGGCAGCTGCTACAGGGTAGGCAGGCTCAGCATCACCCTGGGTGCCTACCCACGCCCTGTGCTGGGGGCCGGGAAACACCCTGAACAGCCACCGGTGGTAGATGAGGGTAACGGTGGAGGGTGCCAGGGCTCCAGATGGGGCCCTTCAGGACAGGCCCTTCCTTCCCAGGGAGCAGACACACCAGGACAACCAGACTGGCGGCTGCACAAAGCGAGGCAACTCCCAGCCTGAGCTAACAATTACCCAAGAGGCGTTATCTCTCTCTTTTTTTAATGTTTATTTATTTAGGTTTTTTTCGGGGGGAGGGGGGAGGGCACTAGTGTGGGAGGGGCAGAAAGAGAGAAGGAGAGAGAATGCCAAGCAGGCTGTGTGCTGACAGCACAGAGCCCGACACGGGGCTCGATCTCGCAAACCACGAGATCACGACCTGAGCTGAAGTCGGGAGTCAGACGTTTAACCGACGGAGCCGCCCAGGCGCCCCAAGAGGCATTATGTCCTGCTCCACACCCAGAAAGACCAGAAAGAGCTTGCTGCCTGCTGATTTGTCATCCTGGGCCGCAGAGGAAGGACTATAACCAGATGTCATCACAGGTGATTCAGGCCCAAAGGTGCCTTCCCACGTGGCCTTCCTGGTGGCCCCGCACAGCCGGGTCATAGCTGCAGGCTTCGAATGTGGACAAACATACTTTGTTTACTGCCCGTGACATGCGGTATATGTTCCGTCTCCGGTCCCGCTCAGGCACGTGACAAAGTTCACAAGAAACGAGAGCTGAGGCGCCTGGGTGACTCAGTCGGCTGAGCGTCCGACTTCATCTCAGGTCATGATCTCATCGTCTGTGAGTTCGAGCCCCGCGTCAGGCTCTGCGCTGGCAGCTTAGAGCCTGGAGCCTGCTTCAGATTCTGTGTCTCCCTCTCTCTCTGCCCCGCCTCTGCTCATGCTCTCTCTCTTTCTCTCAATAATAAATAAACGTTAAAAAAAAAAAAAAAAAGAAATAAAGAAACGAGCTGATCACAAATGAGGATTACCTAATGTCATCCTAGGAAGGGCTTATGGTCACGGTCCTGGGGATTTATTACAGAGAAATGAAAACGTATGTTCCCCCAAAACCTGAATGAATGTTCATAGCAGCTTTACGTATAACAGCTCAAACTGGAGTCAGCCCAGATGTCTGTCCTTAGATGTTCACACATCTAAACACTGTGGTCAACCCATCCTACAGAATACACTCAGTGACACAAAGGAGTCAACTATTGATATGCTTCGATGAGTTTCTAGGGAACTGTCCTGAGGGGGGTGGGGGGAAGCCAACCCCAAAAGACTATCTGATTCCATTTATGTAACTTATTTTGTCACGGAACCTGGTCTGGATCACCTGGCAGAAGAACCAAACAGCACCCGGAGATCTTGGAAGGCAGGAGGTTTATTTCACACCAGCGGGCTCAGAGGACATCACTCTCCAGAGGTCTGAGTCCTGAGCGTAAGCATGGGGGACAATTTAGAGTCTGTTATTTCTGCATCCAGCATTCGTAGCAATTTGGCAGGAAGAAGAACCAGGAAGGGGAGTCTTCGGGCAGGGACAAATTCCCCTGTCAGTCCTGTCGGCCGTCTTATAACAGATTCTTCCCTAACAATTTGAGATGACAAAATTTTAGAAACGCAGGAGAGGGGTTAGGGACTGAGCAGGGGTGTGGGAGGGAGGTAAGGTGGTTATAAAGGGATCTGTTCCAATCTCCGGGGTTGGAGCTGTTCGGTATCTTAACTGTAGTGGTGTTTACATGAACCCACGCATGGGACAAGATGGTACGGAACCTACATGCCCACACGAAGGAGTTCATGCAAAACAGGGGAACTCCGAATAGATATCTGAGAATCTGTGACTTTGTGCCACCTGGGGGAAATTGGGCGGCATCCAAGGATTCTCTGTATTATTTCTTACAACTGCAGGCGAATCTACAGTTATGTCAAAAATTCCAATTGATAACGGGGATGGGGAATTCACTGGAAGACTAATCTTGGAATAATAAACCTTTCACCTACAGCCTGGTAAAAAGAACCAATTAATTAATTAAGGACCTGCCCAGGGGTTAGTCTCCCCTGACCTTTAGCCAAGAATTTCCCTAGCACAGCAAGATGATGCAGGGGACAGAGGAGCTACGGGGACACTTCAGAGGCCAGGAAGGATGCCTCCCAAGGTGCTAGCTCTCCTCAGATGTAGAGGACAGCCAGGTCAGTGTGGAGGCGGCCCCAGGAAAGCTCTGCTTGAGAGGTGGGGGCTGGGCAGGGAGATGCTGGCGGCCAGGATCTTGGCCAGATGCTTGGTCCCTGGTTTTGGGGACCAACCACGTGGCTCAGGTGGTGAGGAGGCCAGAGCGCAAAACGGAGCTACCGTGGTCCACTGGGGTGGGCAGAGTTGGGAGGAAGGTTTTTCTTCTTCGAAAAAAAAAAAAAATGTTTAAGGTTTATTTTTATTTTTATTTTTTTTTAATTTTTTTTTTAAACGTTTATTTATTTTTGGGACAGAGAGAGACAGAGCATGAACGGGGGAGGGGCAGAGAGAGAGGAAGACACAGAATCGGAAACAGGCTCCAGGCTCTGAGCCATCAGCCCAGAGCCTGACGCGGGGCTCGAACTCACGGACCGCGAGATCGTGACCTGGCTGAAGTCGGATGCTTAACCGACTGCGCCACCCAGGCGCCCCTAAGGTTTATTTTTAAGAGAGAGAGAGAGAGCTCACACAAGCGAGGGAGGGGCAGAGAGAAAGGGGGACAGAGGATCCAAAGCGGGCTCTGAGCGGACAGCATCGAGCCAGATGCGGGGCTCAAACTCAACGATCGTGACCTGAGCCGAAGTCTGTCCTGCTCAACTGACTGAGCCACCCAGGTGCCCCCCAATTTTTTTTTAATGGTGGGGGAAAAGCACAGCACAAAATTTACCATCGTAACCACTTGTAAGTGCCTGGCTCAGTAGAGTGAATGCGGGCTGTGGCTGTCGGACAGCAGCTCTCCGGGAGGTTTCCATCTTCAACACTGAAACTCTGTTCCCACTAAACACCTCCTCCCCCGGCCTCCTCCTCCTGGGCCCTGGCAACCAGTTCTATGCATTTGACGACTAGAGATGCCTCATCTAAGTAGAATCACACAGCGTTTGCCCTTCAGTGACTGGCCTATTTCACTTAGCATCATACCCTGAGGGCTCATCCATGTTGCAGCGTGTGACAGGATTCCCTTCCTTTTTAAGGCTGAATAATATCCCCTTACGTGGACGGACAACGTCTTGTTTATACGTTCATCTCATGATAGACACTTGAATTGCTTCCACCTTTTTGCTACTGTGAACAAGGCAGCTATGAACATGGGGGTGCAAATCTCTCTTCCAGACCTTGCTTTCAAATCTTTTGGATGTACACCCAGACGTGCGGTCGCTGGATTGGAGGAATGCTTTTGAACCGGTCTGGTCACGGAAACCTCTTTGTTCCTTATCAGATGCCATACCTGTGGGTATTCGTGGCCCATGGAGAGAAGAAACTCAGCCCTGGGTCCTCTCTGCCTGTCCAAGGGAGCAGAGGTCAGCCTCACGTACACTGGGTCCCCACCCCTGCCTGCCCCACACACATGCACGCACACGCGAGAGCCCCACAAGGCTGGCCCGTAATTGGACACAGAAATGAGGTTCCACTCTGTCACCACTAGCCCCACCCTTTTCCACAGCACAAGGGACTCTGGGTCCAGTCTCCTGGGCACCCTCTGAGCCCAGCACCCTCCCCACCTGCCCACACCAGTCCTGGTCAGAAGCCAGGCCACCCCCGCGTGCCTCCTTTCCCATGTCTTGAGGCCTCACAGCCTCAGGAGGCCAAACCCAGGCCCCTGGCCCAGGCTGTGTGCCTCACACCCCACCTCCCTTAGCACCCAGAACCGAGCCTGTCCAAAGCTGGCTCTCAGAAAACACTGAACAAGTGAGGTGAACGAAGGAGCAACAGTGCTCCCACAAGTCTGTATGAGCCAAGGGTCGGGAGTGGCCCCTGTCGGGGTGCCTTTCACCCAAAGGAGATGTGCCCCCTCAACCCCACCCACCCTAGGGAGACTGCTGGGACCATCCAGTGCTGGACAGACCTGCCTTTTCCAGGACCCCGGCCTTGAGGCTTGCCCAGCCACGCCCTGCCACTTGCCTTCTACCAGTGTGACTTAAAGTCACAGGGCGGGGGCAGGGTCAGCGTGGCCACCTGGGACAATGGGAGGGACATGGAGCCTTTTACAACCAGGAACAAAGTTCTCCCCTGACTTAAGCCCGGGCGGCTTGTACTGCGGCTGGTACCCACGTTCTGGCTCCCCCAGGGTCCCAGCCTCCCCAGAGTTCTGGCCTTGCAGCCCTCCCACCATCCCACAGGCATGCAGGGAGCCTGGGTGCTGCTTCTGCTGCTGGGCCTGAGGCCACAGCTGTCCCTTGGCACCATCCCAGGTAATGAGGCACCTCCCGGCTGCCCCCCATGTATAGGACACTCCCCCAAGACTGACCTGGCTTCCACTCTCCCCTTGGCCAGTTGAGGAGGAGGACCCAGCCTTCTGGAACCGCCAGGCAGCCCAAGCCCTGGATGCCGCTAAGAAGCTGAAGCCCATCCAGACGGCTGCTAAGAACCTCATTCTCTTCTTGGGGGACGGTGAGTGTCAAGGCCTGTCCACCCCCTGTGGCTCCCACAACCCTCGTCCCCAAGGCTGCCAGTGGACACAGACCAGCCCTGGGGACTCGGGCCTGACAAGGTGTGCTCCTTCAGGGATGGGGGTGCCCACGGTGACAGCCACTCGGATCCTAAAGGGGCAAATTAATAACAAACTGGGACCCGAGACGCCCCTGGCCATGGACCACTTTCCGTATGTGGCTCTGTCCAAGGTAAGGGCTGGGTGGCCTCGGGGTGCTCCCCACCAGAAGGGGGCGGGTGCCCAGGAGTGCGACAGGAGGGAAGGCCCAGGAGGCTTGGGGCCGGAGTTCGGGGACCAGGGTGGCGAGGGTGGGCCCCTGGGCTTGGGTCAGAATCTCGGGTATCTGATGGAGCCAGAGGGGAGCTGAGGGTGTCTCTGTCCCCAGACATACAACGTGGACAGACAGGTGCCAGATAGCGCAGGCACAGCCACAGCCTACCTGTGCGGGGTCAAGGCCAACTACCAGACCATTGGACTGAGTGCAGCTGCCCGCTTTGACCGGTGCAACACAACACAGGGCAACGAGGTCGTCTCTGTGATGTACCGGGCCAAGAAAGCAGGTGGGCTTGGGGCCGGCTTAGCGGGCAGGGGCAGGATCAGAGACCTCGGGGGCTCACCCTGAGCTCGGCCACCCTCAGGGAAGTCCGTGGGGGTGGTGACCACCACAAGAGTGCAGCACGCCTCGCCAGCCGGCACCTACGCGCACGTGGTCAACCGCAACTGGTACTCAGACGCGGACATGCCCGCCAAGGCCCGGAAGGAGGGGTGCCAGGACATCGCCCAGCAGCTCATCTCCAACGTGGACATTGATGTGAGCCGCAAAGGGCAAGCAGGGGGACGGGGGGGGGGGGGCGCGGCGTGTCTCCACCGGCCACAGTCCCAGGCAACTGAGGACCTCAGCTCTGGGGCCTGGCAGGGTCTCCCGGAGCTTGGGGTGGGGCCCGAGGTGGCGGAGGAGGGACCGCCGGGGACAGGCCACACCCACAGACCTGAAAGGGGAGCGTGGGGCTCTCTGAGGAGGGAGCAGGGGCCAGCCGGGCCCCACGCCCACCTGCCTAATCCTTTGGCTACAGGTGATCCTGGGCGGAGGCCGAAAGTACATGTTTCCCAAGGGGACCCCAGACCCTGAGTATCCGAGTGACGCCACACAGAACGGAATCAGGTTGGATGGGCGCAACCTGGTGCAGGAGTGGCAGGACAGGCACCAGGTGATGGGGGCCCAGAGGTGCACGGGGCACGAGAGGGACACGGATCCAAGGGCTATGGACTGAGGCCTGGCTCTGCACCCTCCCCGCCCCCCCCCCCCCAGGGTGCCCGGTACGTGTGGAACCGCCAGGCGCTCCTTCAGGCTTCCCAGGACCCCTCCGTAACACACCTCATGGGTAATGACCCCAGCCACCCCCACGTTCCCGCTCTGGCCTCCCGTGTCCTCAGAGGGCCAAGCGTGCGCCCAGATGTTCACACCCACTCCCCGGCCTACCCGTCACCACCGGCCCCCTTCCCCACAGGCCTCTTTGAGCCAGGAGACACGAAATACGAGGTCCACCGAAACCACACCCGGGACCCATCCCTGATGGAGATGACGGAGGCGGCCCTGCACCTGCTGAGGAGGAACCCCCGGGGCTTCTACCTGTTTGTGGAGGGTGCGTGGCAGGCAGCCCCTTGCGGAGCACGGAAGTGGGAATGGCCAGGGCGGGCCGGGCATCGTCCACCTTCCACGCGCCCTGCCCGCAGGAGGCCGCATCGACCACGGTCATCACGACGGCAGGGCTTATCTGGCACTGACGGAGGCCGTCATGTTCGATTCTGCCATCGACAAGGCCAGCCAGCTCACGAGCGAGAAGGATACTCTGACCCTTGTCACCGCTGACCACTCCCACGTCTTCTCTTTTGGTGGCTACACGCTTCGAGGCAGCTCCATTTTCGGTAGGCCCAGGAGGGTGGCAGGGTTTCCTCAGTTATGTGGCAGAAATTGCTCCGACTCTCCCTTTCCTCATCTGTCAAACGGGGCAATGATAGCAACCGCCTTGTAGGGTTTTTGTGAGGATGAAGCCGGCGAGGCCCAAAGTGCCTCGGTTTGCTAGGTGTAGCCCGTGGAGGCCCCCTGGCTGCGGTCAGGGCGATCACCGGTCCCTCCTCCCTGCAGGCCTAGCCCCCAGCAAAGCCCATGACAACAAGACCTACACCTCCATCCTGTACGGCAACGGGCCCGGCGGCTTCGCGCTCAAGGACGGCCCCCGGCCCAACGTCAGCGACAGCCAGAGCGGTGAGTGCAGCGGCGGGCGGTCTGGGGGGAACTCGAGGGAGGGAGCCGCCGGCCGCCCGGCGGGCCCTGACCCTCCCCCCCCCCCCCCGCCCTCCGCCCAGGGGACCCCTCGTACCAGCAGCAGGCCGCGGTGCCCCTGCAGTCCGAGACCCACGGCGGCGAGGACGTGGCGGTGTTCGCGCGCGGTCCGCAAGCGCACCTGGTGCACGGCGTGCAGGAGCAGAGCTTCGTGGCGCACGTCATGGCCTTCGCCGCCTGCCTGGAGCCCTACACCGACTGCGGCCTGCCGCCCTCTGCCGGCCCCAACGACGCCGCGCCCCCGGGCCCGGCCGCCGGCCCGCCGTCGCTGCCCCTGCTGGCCGGGGCGCTGTTGTTGCTG